CATTTTGGTTTCTGTTAGAATGAATGAAGCTAACTTTATGCTATTAAAGTATTGCTAATAATTACTAATTAAGGTAGAGGTTTTATTGAGCTGGGGTGTGTCCCAACAGATATTCTTATAAAATGGTGTGAATTTATCTGACCACAACTTATTAGAAAACATTATATTTTTTTTCCTTTCTTGTAAGAAAAATCCCTATCAGTCACTATTTGATTCTTTGGACTACAACCTCATTGTGAATGTGGTTCTTCCTTTTTCACTTTTTTGTCCATACAAGCTTATCTTAAAGGACAACTCACCCTCAAATCCACTTTTTTTTGCTGATAAACGGTATAAATGAGTGCCCAATAGTGTTGTCTACATATCCTGGTCATAATCTTGTCACTTTGGTGCAAATTAGTTGAAAGTTAGACTTTCTGCCTAAAACCGTCTGTGAGGCGCCATCTGCTGGCGACCTGTATTACTACATTTGAATTTTGAATCTGGCGCCAACACTGGCACAGAAGTTGGACCTGACGTCTGCAAGTTGGACCTGACGTCAGCAGCCCCCCGCCCAGAGCAATGTAAACGGCCCAGTCTCGTTCACGCCCCCTTTAGTCCTCCAGGCTACGCCCATTTAGAGGAAGATTTGAACAGGAAATGTGAGTAACGTAAGCTCCGAGGAGCGGGGGTGAGAACCACTTTAATATGTATGAACATTGTGGACCAAGATCCATCAGCAGCTACAGAACTTTTATTAGAAAAAACAGTATAAAATTCTGGAGTGTAGTATAGTATTGTATTGTGTCATATATAATCAGACACATGTGATACATGTGGGCGCCTGGGCGAAGCACGTGCCCAAACACAGATAAATGAATGGGGTTCTATGGAGGGGGTGGGTGACCTCATGGTGGCGAGGTGATTGACAAGCGCATCAGCGCTCGTCAATCACTAAGAACCCAATAGTTGCGTTCACAGTGGGACAGAAACGTATTTAGTCAGCCACCAATTGAGCAAGTTCTCCCACTCATAATAATGACAGAGGTCTGTAATTTTCATCATAGATACACTTCAACTGTGAGAGACAAAATGTGAGAAAAAAATCCATGAATTCACATTGTAGAATTTTTGAAGAATTTATTTGTAAATTATGGTGGAAAATAAGTATTTGGTCACTTCAAACAAGGAAGATCTCTGGCTCTCACAGACCTGTAACTTCTTCTTTAAGATGTGATATAGGCCAATAACGTAAAGAACGTGAAAACTAGTACTAAAATCCATCTTTCTTTATAGGAACTAGATTTTATTGTGTTTTATTAGGTAGTTAAAATGTGTTATAGTTTTAAAGTTAAGTATTCAATCTAAAAGACATATGTATACATGACGGATTTTCTTGGAATGTACCTCAACAATATCACATCAAACTTTTAAAGATTTAGATTTATTATGTTTTATGGCAAAAAAAAACACTTCTACAATAAGAAGACTCCCTAAGATAATTACTTCTATCTTAGGGTAGTTTTTTTCCCAAAAGTTGTAATACTTCACTCTTGTTGAAAAAACGTCCAAAATATATATTTTGGAAATATATAAAAGGTGTACCAAAAATGTTGCTTAGGAATGAACAGGTAAAACTAGAATTAAATCAGAATATTCATTTATTTCTGTGTTTGAAACTAAAATGTGAATCAAATGCTTGATATAGACTATTACTGTACATGCAGAGAGACACAAGCCTTTGTTTCTTTTAATATTGATGATTATGGCTCATAGTCTGTTTTATACAAGCTTTCAGCCAATTATCAACATTATAACAAAGAAAGGCCTGATATATCTCTTGTCATTTATTAGTTATCATTATTTGAATTACAGAAGTCCATCCATCCATCCATTTTCTTCCCCTTAAAGTGATTGTCTGGGGTTTGTCAGAAAGAGAGACAGAGAGGTACTTGATTTAAAAAAAAAAGATTGGTCTACACCTACGTTTCCGTAACACTTTTAAATGTTAATCTGAGGGATCAAATTATACATGTACATTATTAATACACATGCACGGAGGTTTTCAGAATTATTTGTTTACATGTTAATGAAAAAAATAATGTTTTTATGCACAAAAAAAGCGATCGCGGCAAACCCGGAACAAGCTATTATCATGAATTGCACATTATAGGACACATCTGCAGAGGATCTGATTATGGATATAGGTTCAGTATATAAATGAGAACCTCAGCGCGGATGTTCAAATTCTTTGTTCAGTTTTCATGAAGTTCCAGAGCCTAACAGAGGCTTGATTCGGAGGCTCTGCAAAAACAAACAACTGAGGATGCGCGCAGCTGCGAGCATCAGCGCCGATGATTGACAGCCCTTGGCATGACTCGATCGGTTAACGTGGACACAATCGTGGATTCTGAGTTATAGCTAAGAGAAGGGAAGGCGGGACTTGCCCGTAATATTAGAATGAATAAAATGACTTATTTTTTATCAACATTTAAGGCCAGGAGGTCAATTTAACACATTTCCTAAAATTTGTAATTCATTTAGAGTTTCAGACTATCACTTTAATCCATTTCTGGGTCGGGGCTATGTGCACCCAATACACATAGCTCAATTACAGAGGTTTTTATTTTAATTGCAGATGAACTGAGTTGCAGTTGTAATTCTACTGAAGCCCGACTATAACCACACAGTCCAGCTGCTCCTCCAGTGACCTGGCTGGTCCGGTAAAGCAATTGTTCTAATTGAACAGCAGATGGTTCAATTTAGCTGTATACAGTCAATGAATCTTTTTAGGCAAGACACTCCCCTGCCTTGTCTGTGGGTGTGGGTGCATGAGTGATGGTTGTTAGAGTAAGCAATGGTGCATACCCTGTTGGCAGAGGATAGATTTGTATTTGTTAGGAATCCGCTTTTAGTGTAAAAGAGAGCAGGCAGACAAATAACATATTTTTCAAAAGTGTTTTACTCCTGTGATTCAACATATGTAAAACCAATTAGAATATTTTGAAAATGGACTGTAAGCCAAAATCATCCAAGTGTACAGCGAAAAAATGAAAAAATGGCTTGACATGTGTCTCTTTGCATGCAATGAGTCTCTGTTGAGTTGAATTTCAGACAGAAATACACTTATTATTAAGTGTAATAATAATAATTATTATTAATTATTATTTTTAAATTTTCAGAGTTTTTCACCAATGATGAAATACTTTCCACCCACCAACCCCCCGCCTTCATAATGACTAGCATATCTCATTAACCAGAATCATGCAAGACAGAATGTCGCAAATTGCGCGAACAAATGACATAGTGTTACAATGACCCACTATGTCACAGCGGTGAGTTTAACACAGTCAATGGTCGCATTTATAAAGTGCTTTTCTACCTTCGCTGCACTCCCAGAGCTATGCATCAAGAAACCACTCACCCATTCACTTCCACACCAGTGTAAACAGACCCCTGGGGCTGAGGTGGGTTGCCCAAGGACACATCAACAGCCTTCATCTGTGAGAACTGGAAAGCTTTTTTATCATTCTAACTTCAGTCGTGTATACATGCTAATTTGAAGTCTCTGTAATCTTATCCCGACCCATGAATGATTTGAAAAATGAAGTACAATTTTGCTGTGGTCTGCTACTAAGTTCTAATCATGACGACATTTCTTATAAAAAATCAACATTGATCTAAACCAACCCCTGATCCAAACAGATGTTTGAAGAGGAAAAATGTGAGCCAGCTCCTGTATTACAACAGCATGAACTCATTTTGGACTACCGCCGTTCAATACGTCACCACGGACATCACAAACAAGTTCCAAAATGGGCAGATGAAATTTAGAATTTTGGTTTAATTTGTCCCAAAAGGCTTACCAACACTGCCAAATTATTAGTTTAACACCGGAAAAGCATAAATAAGCGTGTATATTAGACTGTTGAGACAACTTTGAAACACCAGAAAACTACTATACTGCCTAATATGTCACCGCCCTTACATACCATAAGTCATCCGGAAGATTCTGTAAGCACTGCTTTATTTCTCCATTATTGTGACTCTCATGCACATAATCAATCAAAAGAGCTCCTGCTGCGCAATACACAAACTGTCAGGAGCGGATAAAAATCACAAACGGAAATTGCCTTGAAAGAAGAATGGAAGTATACATATGAAAAAGCATCCTTGGCAGTGAACTCCATGGAAACGGCAATAAGGTGAAATCTGCGCGCAAACACGAGCGCGAATGGAATAAAACGTGTTACGGTCGGAGGAGAGCCTGCAAAACCTTGGCTCGCGTCCACATTAGTGCCTGCGGAGGTGGGTGGGAGAAGGGAGGAGGAGAAGGGAGGGAGGGCTCTGTAAGCAAGGGGTGGTCTGTTAGGAGTGAGTGTGTGACAGCCAAAGAGGCAAGACAAGCAGGCTGCGCGCACACACTCCCCCGGCTCCCTGCAACTCACATCTAGACGCAACAATCCTTCCAACGTTTTTTTGGCTATTGCGCCCATTTTGATTGACAGGTGGGTTCCGTAGAGCTTGGAGGTCTTTGCTGCTTCTCCTGCGACTGGACAACTAAAGCCTTCGTAGAGTTTCCTTCAAGACTTTCTTTAGATGCCATGCGTCAATCGTCCACCTACTTGTCTTTGGAGCTGGACGAATAATTGTACAAGCTTCGAAGATCGATTTTTGACATCTTCCCGTTGACAAACTCAGATGGGACTCTTTGAGATTGGTAGTTCCAACAACACACTTTGATGTTTCTTTCATCAAATTGGATGATCTGATTGATGGAAGATAAAAACAAGGTTGGAAGCAAGTGGACTATAAGCGAGGAAGAAAAACGGTTATTCCTAAGGGACAGTGGTGGGTGGATGCCCTTCTGCAGGCTTCTATAGGGGAACAAGCAACCATATATATAGACATCAACGTCAAATTGCGAGGATCTAAAAATATGGATGCTTATTAGCGAGAAACAAGGAGGAGAATTGATTTGCCTTTCAAAGACTTTTTGCCGGCTTTTGATGTGCAGGAGAATGGCTGCGAGTGGAAGGAGCGCTCTGGCGGGTTTTGTGCTGCTGCTTCTGTGTGTGGTTGCGGCGCACTCAGCCTCTCACAGCATCTACCCCAGGATACGCTTGTCACATAAAGGTAAGTCCATGTGATCGCAGATGTTCCAAGGCTAGCACGTTAACTAGCCATGCAAGATCAGTGGATGAAAGCATGTACTGAAAGGTTGTCTTGACAGTGCTGTTGCAAAAATTAGATGAATGAAAGAGTACTTAAAATGTATTAAAAATGCCCTGTGAAATGATTGACAATTGAGAAAATGTTCATATTGTTAAAAAAATCCATTTACTTCTGTAATTCAACTGTGCGACAGTAACTCAGTTGGTAGAGCATTGGCCTTTGAGCCAGAGGGTCGTGGGTTAGAGCCCGACTTTCACCATCGACTCCCACTGACTGCTGTCGTTGTGTCCTTAGGCAAAACACTTAACCTCATATTGCCTAGAATGAGTCTGGTGTGTGTGTGAATGGTTGGTGGTGGTCGGAGGGGCCGATGGTACAGACTGGTTGCCTCGCTTCTGTCAGTGTGCCCCAGGGCAGCTGTGGCTACAGTAGTAGTTTATCACCACCATGTATGGAGTGAAAGAATAACATGTAAAGCGTCTTTGAGTGTCCAAAAAAAAGTGCTATATAAAACCGATCCATTATTATTTGAATATCAAAACAATATGACATAGTGACATATATCCTGTCATATTTATTATAATGTTTATGGTTCACACTTTGTAAAGATTCCAGATAAAACATCTCTCAATCTAACATTTTAAGTTGAATTTGAGAAACGATAATATAAATATTATAATATGATATTATTATTTCACCTGTAGGTTTCAAGTCAAGAGCGGAATATGCCATCAGTGTTTTTCCTTTCAGTTTTGAAGGTGGTGTGTCATGAAATCTATATACTAAACTCAACAACACATACAGGTATCCAAACCCAAAGCTGCATTAAATTTACTTGTCCTACAAGAGCAAACAAAGGCATTAAAAAGAAACTCCAACGCATTCTTTCCTCCGTGTTGACTCTGCTTATCAGTTATGCAATAGAAATGCAAGGCCTACCTATAACACGAGTCACATACTGCAGCTAGGTGTAGCCAGTGAAACTTTGGGTAGTAAAAAAAGAGGTTATAAAAATAAAATCAACGTCCAGATTGTTTGCAGTCTTTGTCATTTCCTCAAAGCAGATCTAAAATGCAAAAGAGCCGCTACACTCTGAATGTTTCTAGAAGTGGAACAAATCAAGTAGTATTTAGTTTGTGGGCAGAAAAGAAAAGCGTTTAAACACTTTTGGTTTGCTCATATTTTCTCATTGAAACAGACTCTGGCATCAAACACAGTTGAAATGACATCCTTAATGTGAAGGGTCCAACAGGCTGTGCTGCAACTTGATACGCCAATATGAGTTCATTTAACAAAGACAAAGGTTCCAGGGACAAAATTGACATAAACTAAATTTGGTGCTTTCCACTTGGAATTCGAAGGTCACTTTTCAACTTTTAAATTCTTGCTTTGCCTCTCTTGCAGTAACTATAACAACATTTGGTTTCTTCAGATGGCATTGATTTCTCAGTTTTATTGTTTCTTTGTAGCTTCCCACCATGTTGAAAGAATGCCAATAATGCTTGTTTTGGTTTTGATACTGGCATCAGATATTGGTCCTAATGCTGGAGATTTCATTGGATTGGTTACACGTTTGATAATATTGGTAATGTAAGTCTGTTTATTGACTTTTATCAGCCCAGAATATCTTATACAATAGATTTAACTTTTACTGTTACTCAGATTAACAGCTAATTTAACTCTATGAATTTATGTAAATGTCTATTGTCTGTTATATTTGTACTGGCTATTAATCGTCACCTAGATTTCCCCTTGTGGGATGAAAAAAGCAGCATCTGTGCAAGTTTCCATCCATTTGTATTGTTTTATTACTAGTCCATAGGAAGCATTTACAGCTACTTATCTGTATTTATATTGTGTGTGCTCTTAATACTGTCTCGTATGTGCTGCAACACTGATTTTTCTCTTCTATAGAACAAATAAAAGTTCTCATTTCTCATCTTATCTGTCATCCGTACCATCCTCAGGTAAATGGATAAAAGCGATATTAATTGATAAGAGGTCGATTGGTGCACAACTGGCTTCTTATCAATGTATCAAAATCAGCCGAGAAGTAGCTGCTTTGGAAACAAGTGGATTGAATAAATGTAAGAGTTTATGAGTGATTAAATGCAGGTTATAATCCGACACTTTAACCGTGCATGAGAAACGACCCACATGCACAACATAAAAGCTAATGGGCTATGATTTGTGTCAGGAGAGCTGCAGCGTGACTGGCCCGTGTGCTTCTTTCTCTGCTGGTGTCCAACTTTGTTTTCATATTTCAACCATGGTGGCTGAGAATGGACAATGCAGCTTTTTTTCCCCAGATCTTTCTTCAGTCCCGGTAATTCTGTTTTTTTTTTTTTTATATTTGTATGTCAAAGCGAATAAAACACCTATTACTGTATATTTAACCAAGACTGCAGCTGAATTGTTTTAAAAGTAAGGATATTTGGACCAAAGAATACTACCATAATGTCAATTCCAGCAACATAATGCATTTTATCTTTGCTGACATTCTAACACATTGTAGATGAGCTCAGGACTAACCACATCCATTTCCAGATTGCTAAAAATCAGACCCCAAGGAGGAAGTCGAGAGGGTACAGAGGAAATTGTGGTTCACCTGCTATGATAGGATTTATATTCCATAGCAACCAACATAAGTTATTAGCTGAATAAAAATAACCCTAACTTTTATAGATTGAAACTTACAACTTTTACACCAAAAGTGGTCCACCAATTTTGAGATATAAATCTTTTTTTAGTGTCGCACAAGAGAATTAAAAAAGTGGTATGGCTCTGATATTCTTTGGTGTACTGACATAATTTGCATCTGTGGAATCCTTGTTTATGATTCAAATAAGGATGCATTTTGCTGGTATGTGGATCGGCCATAATCTCGCCAACAAAAGTCTGGGGATAAAAGCTTGGAGATACAGTCTTGAATAAACATAACTTTTTCTCTGTTTCTTTGATCTCCATTGGTTGACAATTTCCCATGAGCATGTTAGTCATGCTTGGATATAGGTGTGGAATTTGGACGGTCAATAACTTGAATAAGCATGGCTGCCTGTCAGATGATCCAGTTGATAAAAGAGGACAAGTGAATGCGTGACTTATTTTTGCAGACGTGTGATGGGGTTATGCTTGCGGTGCACAGACAGAGGGGAGAGGGGTTAAGGATGTTGAGCATGGAAGAATGGAAAATATGACATTTTATCATGGCTCTCTTTTTTTAACTGTTAACTTTGTCACAACATTGTTCTCTTCAAAAAGTCTGCCCATTAAACCAAAAGTACCGCTATTTCCTGAAATATTTTATGAAGTCAAATTTTCACGAATTCGGTTCATAGTATCGGTTAATAGAATCCTATGTCAAATTGACCGAATAAAATAAGAAGCATGTCTAATTGTACATTAGCAATTGCACAGATTTGCTTGTTCAGTGATATGGATACAGACTTTTAAAGATGAAGATGAAGTAGTATGGATTCGATGTTCAATTATTTGCCACAACCTTTGCAAAACAACACATTTACTATTGGTAAATCTTCCACTGATAAATAAGATTATGCCACTTAACTATTTTATGTATTTATTTAACTATCAAACCAAGACTAGTTTCTTGCAGTTTGGTTCTATCACTACAGTTTTCATCATGGTATATATGTATTTTTGGCCTCTGTCACATCTTTGAATCAGCTTTTTCAGAACGCCCTCCACTCCTCCAATCAGCTAAGTAAAAGTAAAGGTGCACTTTATTTATCCCCGTAGGGCAATTCAATCCTCTGCATTTGAACCCATCACCCAAAGCATCATATAATGACTCACAGGGCTCTTTCAGACAAGTATGCAAAAGATAACATGTTTTCTAAAAAGATGAAGCCTGTTTTGTTAAAAAAAAAAATAGTTTAACTGACTTTTTATGTTATGAAGGGATGACAGTAGCTCAGTTGGTAGAGCACTGGTCTTTGGACCCAATGGTTGTGAGTTCGAGCCCTCCACGACACATGCCACATGCTCCCACTGATGTCTGCTGTCATTTTGTCCCTGAGCAAGACACTTAACCCCACATTGCCCGAAGCCCCCGCTGAAAGACCAAGGCCATCTTGTCAATGAGGAGAAGCCATCTTCCCGTGGACCCACCACCTGCAGGAGGATTAGCGAGGAACCGGTGCTACGAGACTTGGGTGGCACTTCTGATTGCCACCCCCTTACCCAGAAATGAACTAATAAAGGGCTAGAACATTTTTATGTTGGTACAAACTCATTGTATTGTTTATTATACAAGTTAGGTATCCCAGTATTCATCAAGGAATCTTTGGTCAATTTTTATTCTTTTTGTTTGCAGATTGGTGCAGTATTAGTAAAGTGTGAGTGCCATAAAGCCCGGTGCAGGACAACCTTGAGCAGGACATGTCAATCCTTGTCGTCTCTCATTTCTATTGACATATTGATTCCACTTGTCAATAAGCCCAGTCCTTCTCAACCTCCTCATCTCTTCTAGTGCTGTCAGCGGCTTTAATTAGGCTAATGAATATTTGTTACAACATTGCCATCATCTTTGCCATCCTAATAGCACAACTGTCAAACCAACTGACAAGAAAGTGTGAAGAATGCGTTGACTTTGCTTGTTTTGATCAGTTTCAATCACGCCGTGCTTGTTCTATAAAAAATCATTGTGTGTTTTGCTTCCGGCTTTAGAATTCTTCTTCTAAAGGGTGCTTGATGTTTAGAATTCCTGTGATCAGCTTTCATACTGCATTCGTCACTGTGTTCAAACTTGGCATCTGGCTTTAGACTTTATTTTCATTATCAAACGTGTCAATACAGAAGTAAACAACCAAACAGCAGCAAAGTGCCACAATGTTGCTATATAGTTTAAATCTATTATATCAGTGAAAACTCTGCGTTTCAAACTTTTTCAATTAGTGGTCGACCGGGTTGATATCTGCACTAGTATGTCGACTTTTCAT